TGCTCTCACCCTCACTTATTGACCTCTGAAAGGCCAGAAAATATTGCCCCAGAAAAAACCCTGGAATAACTGAGCCAGCAGAAAAACGGGACGCAGCAGTATCGCAGCCCAAAAAGCTCAGGGAATCAATGGGAAAGGCCCCTCTTGCTCCGGGGAAGAAGGAGTAGTACAGAATGGGAGGCATCCCAGCAAGCCCGCGGCAAGCCCCAGAATACCAGGGAAAGATCATGAGCCTCAGGGTGGTGGAGCAGACAAGTGCACACACCAAGAACTGCACCTCCCTAAGGCCTCAGCACAGGGAGAGAAATGGGTAGACACTAGCTCAGAGAATCACTATGGGTGCCGGTATTCTCCAGCAGCCAAATCTCCCAGTGTTTCAGCACAACTCCGGAAGGCAAAGCTCCACGCTAGCAGACATCATCCAGCAATCAAACATTCAAGTGCTTTAAAGAAGCCCAGGTGAGCAGGTATCCTCCAGAGGCCAGACTCCCCATCCCCACCCTGAGAGTTTCAGCGTCCCTGACCCCAGCTCAGCACCAGGTAATCTGCCAGATCCCTACAGGCTCCAGCTACCAGCATCTGAGGCCCCAGTACACAAAGCCAGTGACCAGGTCCCAGGCTCACCGCACAAGAAGCTTGGGTCAGTACCCCCTGAGCTCCAGCAGGAAAGCTCAATTTCAAAAGTCAGGAAATAGGTAAACACCATGAACAAAAAGCAGAAACAGACAAAGAACATAAAATCTTATTATGGGGACAGGGAATATTAAGGCACAAATTTAGAACAGGACAACATTGCCAATATACCCACATCCAAAATTTCAAAGAGTTCTGTGAACTGGTCTCAAGCCCAAAAAACTTTCTTGGAAGAGCTCAAGAAGAGTTTTAAAAGTAAAATAAGAGAAGCAAAAGAAAAATTGGGAAAAGAAATGAGAAGTATGCAAGAAAGAGTCAATAGCTTGGAAAAAGGACAAAAATTGACTGTAGGAAACAAGTCCATAAAAGTAGAATTGGCCAAATGGAAAAGGAGGCACAAAAACTCATTGAAGACAACTCCTTAAAAAGTAAAATGGGGCAAATGGAAAAGGAGGTACAAAGTCTAATAGAAGAAAACAATTCATTAAAAATTAGAATTGGGTAAGTGGAAGCTAAAGACTCTATGAGATATCAAGAATCAGTCAAACAGGGGCAGGTGGGTAGCACAGTAGATAGAGCACTGGCCCTGGAGTCAGGAGGACCTGAGTTCAAATATGACCTCAGACACATAACACTCACTAGCTGTGTGACTATGGGCAAGTCACTTAACCCCAACTGCCTCACCCACCAAAAAAAAAAAAAGAGAGAGAGAGAATCAGTCAAACAGAAACAAAAGAATGAAAAAACAGAAGAAAATGTAAAATACCTCACTGGAAAAACAACTGACCTGGAAAACAGATCCAGGAGAGACAATTTTAAAATTATTGGTCTACCTGAAAACCATGATGGAAAAAAGAGCCTGGAGAGCATCTTTCAGGAAATCATTAAGAAAAAATGCCCTGGGACAGCTAGGTGGCACAGTGGATAGACCACTGGCCCTGGATTCAGGAGGACCTGAGTTCAAATCCGGCCTCAGACACATAACACTTCCTAGCTGTGTGACCATGGCCAAGGCATTTAGCCCCATTGCCTAACAAAAACAAACAAACAAAAAACAAAAACAAAAAACAAAAACAAAAAATGCCCTGAGGTCCTAGAACCAGAAGGTAAAATAGTCATTGAAAGAATCCACCAAACACCTCCTAAAAGAGATTCTAAATTGAAAATGCCAAAGAATATTGTAGCCAAATTCCAAAATTACCAGGTCAAAGAGAAAATGCTGCAAGCAGTCCAAAAGAAACAATTTAAATATCATGACACCACAGTCAGGATTACACAGGACCTTGCAGCTTCTACATTAAAAGATCAGAGGGCATGGAATATGATATTCCATAAGGCAAAGGCTTGGATTACAACCAAGGATCAACTACCCAGCAAAATTGAGCATAATCTTTCAGAGGAGGAAATGGACATTCAACAAAATGGGAGACTTTCAAACCTTTCTGATATAAAGACCAGAGCTCAACAGAAAATCTGATCTTCAAATATAAGACTCATAAGAGACATAAAAAGGTAAACAGGAAAGAAAAATAAAACATGTTACTAATAAGAGCAAACTGTTTCCATCCCTACATGGGAAGATGACACTTGTAACTCTTGAGAACTGCAGAGTTATTGTGCCATTTAAAAGGGTTATACATAGACAGAGGGCATGAGTATAAGTTCACTTTGAAGTGATGATAAAAAGTCCAATTAGGAGGAGGCAGACAAGGGTAAATTACATTACATGAAAAGGCACAAAAACCTATTATAGTAGAGGGAAAGAAGGGAGGGAGATGACCATTGTTTGAACCTTACTCTCATCAGATTAGGCTCAAAGAGGGAATAACATAATCAGTTAGGTATAGAAATCTAACTTACCCTATAGAAAGTAGGAAGGGAAAGGGGAAAGAAAAGGGAGGGGGATGATAGAAAGGAGAGCAGACTGAGGGAAGTGGTGGTTGAAAGCAAAACTCTAGTGAGGAGGGAAAGGGAGAAAGAAGAGAGAAAAGCATAAACAGGGGGAAGATAGGTTAGAGAGAAAGACATAGTAATCATAACTGTGAATGTGAATGGGTTGAACTCTCCCATAAAACAGAAGTGGATAGCAGAGTCGATTAAGAACAATAATCTCACAATATGTTGTTTACAAGAAACACATTTGAAGCAGTGGGATACACACAGAATAGAGATAAAAGACTGGAGTAGAATATATTATGCTTCAGCTGAAGTAAAAAAAAAAAAAGCAGCGGCAGCAATCCTGATCTCAGACAAAGGAAAAGCAAAAATAGATCTAATTAAAAGAGATAAGGAAGAAAAGTACAACCTGCTAAAAATAGACAATGAACATTATTACTAAATATATATGTAACAAGTGGTATAGCATCTAAATTCTTAGAGAAGTTAAGGGAATTACAGGAAGAAATAGATAACAAAACTATACTAGTGGGGGACCTCAATCTCCTCCTCTCAGAACTAGATAAATCTAACCACAAAATAAACAAGGAAGAAGTTAAGTAGACGAATAGAATTTTAGAAAACTTAGATATGGTTGACCTCTGGAAAACACTGAATGGGGATAGAAAGGAATATACCTTTTTCTCAGCAGAAGATGGCACCTACACAAAAATTGATCATACACTAGGGCATAAAGACCTCACAATCCAATGCAGAAAGGCAGAAATATTAAATATATCTTTTTCAGATCATGATGCAATAAAAATTACATGTAATAAAGGGCCATGGAAAGACAAACTAAAAATTAATTGGAAACTAAATAATGTAATACTAAAGAATGAGTGGGCCAAAACAACAAATCATAGAAGCAATCAATAACTTCACACAAGAGAATGACAATAATGAGACAACATACCAAAACTTATGGGATTCAGCGAAAGCTGTTCTTAGGGGAAGTTTTATATCTCTAAATGCTTACATGAATAAAATAGAGAAGGAAGAGATCAATGAATTGGGCATGCAACTAGAAAAGCTAGAAAAAGAACAAACTGAAAATCTTCAACTAAATACCAAATTAGAAATTCTGAAAACCTAAGGAGAGATTAATAAAATTGAAATTAAGAAAACTATTGAATAAATAAAACAAAGAGCTAGTTTTATGAAAAAAAAACAATAAAATAGACAAACCTTTGGTTAATTTGATTTAAAAAAAGAAAGAAGAAAACCAAATTACCAGTATCAAAAATGAAAAGGTTGAATTCACCACCAATGAAGAGGAAATCAAAACAATAATTAGGAGCTATTTTGTCCAACTGTATGACAATAAATTTGACAATCTTAGTGAAATGGATGAATATTTACAAAAATACAAATTGCCAAGATTAACAGAAGAGGAAATAAAATACTTAAATAACCCCATTTCAGAAAAAGAAACAGAAAAAGCCATCAATGAACTCCCTAAAAAATAATCTCCAGGGCCAGACACTGTGACTGAAAAACTCATCTGCTTTATGGTCAACCCAATGACATCTCTCTCTAAACTGAGGTTCACAGATGACAGATCTACAGACCATTACCAGTTGCATCCTTCAAGTCTTTCCCATTTGATAAGACCTACTTGAGCTTATGCTACATTGGCATAACCTTTAAGAACCTCAGGTGAGCTCCATGGTATGGCTGAGGTATGAGAAAAAGAAAAAGGCTTTAATAGAAGATCAAAGGTACATGTTCCATTAACTGGACACGACCATTCAAGCAGCTATAAACTAATCAAACTCTACTAACATACATTCCATGTTATGCCATTTTTTGTCCACAAGGAATATTTTTATTAAATTAGTATTGGTTTAGGGCATTCCCTTGAAGGTTCAACCTAGTAACCATCTCAAAGCAGGGAGAACTAACCTTTCAAAATACTGCCTTATTAATCTTGATCTTTTCATTTGCTCTACTTCTAAGTATGTTGGCTAAATCATGGGGTATTATGCCTTCTTGTGTAGTCAAGTATTGTGTTTTATATATTGATGATAAGCCCAAAGATTGACATTATGGTCTACACAACCCTCAAATTTTTTTTAGCAACTATAAGGAATTAAAAATTGTCATAGCATTCTAGATGTGGATAAAACAGCATACACTGCAGTAAAGCCACTATTTCACATGAGAGAGTTTATCAAATCTTTTGAGGTAATCTATGTATTGGATTGCCCAATGATGAATAAATAGAAAAAAGAAGTATAAAAGAAAACAAAACCAAGTCAGCTAGCAAAGTATTTTTTTCCAATAGAATTGTAGGTGGAAGATGATATCAATGCTATTATTTACCACTTACATGTAAAACCACTTCCTTATTTTAACTTGAGTAGATATATCAAGAATATTCTATTAGTATAAAAATAACCTATATGCTTCACAAGAAATTATTTAGGTACCTATCTGCAATTACTCTGTTGCACTCATGTTTGAAAAGTGACAGGAGAACAGTACGTGAGTCACACTCTTCTGCTTTTATAGTTAACATTCCTTGCCAAATTCTGGAGAGATCTCGAAGATTGAAGATGTAATGAAATTTTGATGGAGTTGGCAGCATTTTTACCTAAAGCAAAAATATACCCAGTGTTCAAAAATAACATTTACACGGTAAAAAACAAGGATGCAAACTTCTAGGAAAGAATGATACTCTCTTACATACTATTCTAGAAGTATGACCCTGGCCAAGTCACTTAACTTCCATCTGCCTTAAGTTTCCTCATCTGTAAAGTGGAGATAATAATAGCATTTATCTCTCAGGATTATTGTGAAGATAAAATGAGATATTTATAAAAACTTTTCAAACTTTGAAGTGCTATATAAATGCTATCTGGTATTATTATTGTTGTTAAAATAGTCATACTTAGGTAATATGTTCAGAATAGTTTTAGCTTTATAAAGCTTTTTAAAAAACTGACAAAAGTATTCCAACCTAAAACTTCTAAAATATATCCCAAAGTAGACCAATGCAATATTAAGCCTATGAAACATCTTATAGACACATAGCTATACATGTATAGTTCTATCGATGCCAATTCTTGTTCCCTAGTAAGACAAGGTCTTCCTATCCTATGTGTTAAAAGTGGATTTTTAGGAGAGTATAACTGACTCCATTTTGTGCTATATTTGCTGTTACTATATTTCTTTCTATTCCTGTGTTACAGTGAAGGTAATGAATGTTTCCTTCAGTACTTCTCTTACTTTTTAGAAAACTCATAGAACTTTGAGCAATTTAAGGAATTCACTCCCTTTTCTTTACCTTATCTATTAAGACAGGAAGTAGAAGGAGTTTAACAAACTTAAATAACTAACTGCTGATAAAGAAGAAACTGTTTTCTCTGGTCTGGTGTGAAAAACTATGCAGGCCTTTGCAATGGTTTAAGCATCCTTTTTCTTTTCCTAAAAACCTTGCCTTTTCTCAACCTCCCTATTCTTACCTAATCTCTCTGAATCTCTTGGCACAAGAGGAGAGACTATAAATATGTTATCTGTAGAACTGTGACATACATATCAATCACCTACAAATAGGGTGTGTTATACTCTTAAGTGGATAAATAAATTGCAGTATATCTGTCTGTAAGCTGTGCTGACTTATTGGTGCAGTGGCTAATAAGGACCCTGAAAATTCTTGCAATATATGCACTGTATCCAGATATCTACATCCAATATGTAGATTAAGATATACGACTACAATGGCAATGAACTACAATAATTCATGTTAACTGCACCTTTATTAGAAAACACAAGTATTTGGACTGACATATGAGTTTAATGTTTGAATTGGAGTTCACAAGAGCTGAAGAAGTGGCATGTTACCTTTACTTCTAGGAAGAATATATGAGATAATATCTAATTCTGTTTGTTAAAATCAGGTAACATAAATGTTATTAAATTTAGGTTTTAATATTACAAATTGTTGGCATTAGTTTTTGCTTTATTTTCTGCAGGGGAAATAAAGCTATGAACACATATTATCTTAAATATCTTCCGAGTGAGAGATGGCTTGGCTGTGTAATCAATTTTATTTTACTTGATCACAGGCTGCATTTTAAGTCCTATCAATTTTAAGTCTTTACAGGTACAACTTCATTAAGGACAGAATTAATCGAATTAAAATATTATTGGTTGAAAAATGGGTTTTACATAATATTGATTGAAAATACTATCTTATTTAGGAAAACATCTTTGGTAAAATTATTTGGGAATAAAATAAGTGATCAATGACGTGTTGATTTGTGAATATGAAATTCTTATTGATAGAAAAACAGGGCCACACCTTTGCAAAAAATGGTAGATTTTGATACTCTGTGATGGTCTGGGGATACAGTCAGCATGGAATATAGAGTTGTAGCATTAAGTATTTAAACCGTGAAATAACTATTATGCTTTAGTTATCTAGAGTATTAAAAGGTTTATCAGGAATGTTTAAGGATGGATAATTTATAAGTTCTTGCTATTACGGTTAGATTTGAAAAAGCTGTTAGGTTTATGCCACTGACAGCTGGAAATAAATTTTCAACAGTGTTGAGAGGTATATAAATTTAGACATCATAAATTCAGCTGCCTTTGCATAATTTTAACACAATCTGTACTTATGTGCCTTTTTATGAAATGTTTCCCCAAGTCACTCAGTAAAAACTCCCTTGGGTAAGTATTACTTAGCCCTTTTTATGGTGTTTGGGCAGTGTTGTAAGAAGGGTTGGGTAACTGGGGCTTTGTCCAATGCATCTAATTTTAGAAAAGACAGACAATATTTGTAATTTTTTTTTGGTGAGGCAATTGGGGTTAAGTGACTTGCCCACAGTCATACAGCTGGTAAGTTTTATGTGTGTCTGAGGCCAGATTTGAACTCAGGTTCTCCTGACTTCAGGGTTGGTGCTCTATCCACTGCACCACCTAGCTTCCTCAATATTTGTAATTCTTTAACAGCATAGAGATCTTGTTTGTCCACTCTATCATAAAGTATTTTATGCTATGTCATTCATAGTAAAAGAATTTCACCTGGAGATACTGAAAGAATCATTCAGCCCTAATATTGATCCCTGGTTTTGAAGTCAAGTTATACATCCATGGAATTTATGTCTCCCTATAAAAGGAAAATTAGGCTGATTGATTAGGTGACATATTTTGATCTATCATAGTCTTTTGTACCTTAGTCCATTGCCATAGTATTCTACCAGCTGAAACTAATTTCATGATCATTTCACATATTTCAGGCTTGAAATGTCTACAAGCATCAAAGTAGCCACATCCAATTACTCCTGAAAATAGAAGAAATTAAGGGCACAAACTTTAATAATGTTACACAGCATATCTTTATCATAAAAATAAATCATTGCACATATTTACATATCTATTCTAGCAATAATTGAGGTAATTAATCTCAGGAACCAAATAACACTCAAATAACATGGTAGCTATGAGCAAGGAAAGCAGAAGTTGGAGGGTAAACCCAATTTGCAGGTTTTTTAATCCCCTGCTAGAGTGTCCTTCATTCAAAATCATCAGAGTTTTTTGATGAGTCTTCCTCACTTCAGGCCCAGCATTGTACCTACCGTGCTACCTATCTGCCCTAGTACCAACTATAAGAGCACAGTAAATAATACTCTCTAAAAACTAATTAACTAATTAGCTATTCCAATGTATTAGTTGACTAACCAATTCATATCATTGATAATCAATGGGGATAGAACATTACTAAGGTCTCATGAGCTAGAGCACTAGAAACACATCCCCAGGCCTTTCCAAACTCCAACAGGAGAGGTAGCAGCTGCTTTCTGCTTGCTAGTGGAAATTGAATTAGGGATCATATGTTACATAAACAATTTGAAAGAGAAAGAAAATATACCAAATATTTTGTCTATTGATGCATTTGATGGCAATGTGCAATTAAACACAGTAAACTGTCTTTTCAAACGTTGTGGAATATCATTTCGACCCCCTCCTGGATGTATCATTGCTGCTATTATCTGCACATCAACAATTGTAGTGAAGTCTCCAGGTTTATCCAAGCTATACATTCCTTTCATTTCCATCATCTGTCTTACAATCTCATTAGTTATCTGAAAATTTGTAAAAACAGATTTTTATATCACCTCAGGATGATGTTTAATTTAATTCCACAAGCATTAATTAAGTGCCTACTACCCAAAAGGCACCATTCTATAAACACTAAGGATTCAAAAGCAAAAGAAAAACAAAACTTGCCTTCAAGGAATTGACAAATCTACCAGAGGGACATATAGGACAAGAGTATAATGCAGGGAAAATTGAGGAGGAAGAGAGCACTTAACCAAAGAGATTTGGGAAGGTGTAACAACAGATAAGGTGGCCCCTGAATCTTAGAGGGAAACAAGCATGCTGGGAGATAGAGGAGCAAAGAATACATTTCAGGCATGAGGAACAGCTTGTGGGGATGTGTAAAATTGGTAGGTGGAGAGTCAAATTTGACAAGTTTGGTTGAAACATACTTCTGCAGGAGAATAACATCGAATAAGAATGGAAAAATAAGCTGGAGTTAAGATTCAGCAGGACTTAAATGCCAGGCTAAAGAGGTGATCAGACCTTTAGGAGGATTATTTTGACAGCCGTATGGAGGCCAATTAGGAGGCTACTACAACAGTTCCAGAGAAAGGTGACAGAGACCTAGATTAATTCTACAGTTTATAGAATTGGCACAGAAAAGCACACATTCAACCAAGAGTTCACACACAAGAGAAAAAAAAAACATTCAGTGGGTATATCTTGGCTCAAATTGACCTTTATAGCTTGGGACTTCTGAGATAGAAAGATACTAGATAGAAAGAATGTATAAGCAGTGTTCAGGACTAGAATGAAGGGCAAAGCTCTAGGAAGAAAATGACTGGAAACAGGTTACTGCAGGGTAATTGTAAGGTGTTGTCATAGAGTATTTTTAATTTGTGGGTTATTTTGGTACAGAATTTAAAAAAAACACAAAAACCCATGACTGGATTGTGTGTACATGTGTAATATTTCAGTTATACCTGGTCTCCCCATTCATTAATTACTGGCATATTAATATCATCAATAAATACAGTCATTTTTCTTCCTCCTGGTGGTCCATATGTGCTTCCCATTCGCTTATCCACATAACTTTCAATTGTTCTCTAGAGAAAAGTAAATGGTTTGTTTTAGGGTTTTTTAATTGATTTATTTTAAAAAGATTAGTATCAATTTTCATATATTATTTTAGCTTATTGAAATTCGTATATGTAGAATACATACACATATAAAGCAATTCCAAGAAAAATGCATTAACTATTAGAATATTAATCACTGACTGGGGTTAAAGTAGAAAGAGTTTCCCTGTACCTCAGGACTTAAAAATAAGTTTATTATTTTGGAGAATCAAGAAGTATACCTACTAGAGATAAAATGGAAATAGATATAAAGCCTCTTATCTACTCTAATGCAATTACTACATTAAAACATTTAAAATATTTATAACCATACCCACCTATGAATAACCTATACAATGTGGGCTTTACCTGAAACATCATTGGTTCTGTGGCAGATGAAAAGTTCAGACATTTAGATAAATGTACTTCAGGGTCATACTTTTTCATATACGCTTTAATCATAACAGTTTTCGCTGTTCCCTGTTCTCCTATGAGCAAAACTGCCTATAATGACAGAGTGAGAGATGAAGAGTATTTAAAGTTTTTGTATTTACTAGAATCCTTTGGTGGTTTCATTAACCTCTCTCCTTACCAACATAGTATACCCCTTTCAAACACTTTCTACTCTCAATATGTTTTACTTGGCCCCTGCAGACCCTCATTTTCCTCTCTATTTTCACAACCCATGGCCGATGTAACATCCCCCTTGTATATGTACCACCACAAAGATTTGCATGGATATGATGATTAGGTGCCAATGAGTGTGAGGCTAACATCTTGGCATACAATATAAGGGAGCTGTGCCAGTTATACAAACTGGCTAAAGGATAACCACGTCATACTTTTTTTATTTCTCACCAGGCAAAAAGTAGGGCTCCAATGTGGCTGAAGGTTCTCTAACAGCTCCCAAACTCTGACTCACACTACTACCAATTCCTTTTCCTTTAAGATTGTCATCCACCTAGATGTCTTCTATATACCTAGTTATTTACAAATTGTCTCCTCCATTGGAATGGGAGCTTCTTGAGGGAACATTTGTGCCTTTCTGTGTATCTCTAGAACTTAGCACAGTGCCTGGTACATGGTGAGCACTTAATGCTTACTGACTGAGTGAGTAGCTAGCTTACTTCAACAGCTTCCCACCTGTCTCTCCCCACTCCAGTTCTTCCTACTCACTGACACCCAAGTAATGGTCCTTAAACATAGATCTGACCATTGGCCACTCTAAACAATCAACTCCAGGTATTTACCTATTTATTTATTGACTATAGGATAAAATATAAACTCTTCTGTTTAGTTTTTAAAGCCTTATACTACCTGCCCCAAACTATCTTTCCAGCTTCACTAGACAGTGCTCTGCAAACCAAAACTCTTCTCTCTGTTCTTCCCACACATCTCTTTGCTCTGTGTCTTTGCACTCACTGGCCAGATACACCCTTAGACTCATTTCTCTGTTCCTTCCACCTGATAAGGAACCTCTCTTCCTTTAAGCAGCAGCTCAGGAATCCCCATCTGCGCTATCTTTGTTGATAAGGCCCAAATGATAGTGCCTTCCCTCCTAAATGACCTTTTATTTAATTAACTACATGGTATATATTTATATTTATTCATTTTTTATTTATGCTGCATCTGTGTATTGATGTCTTTGTCTCCTCCATTAGAAGTTAGCTCCTTGCAATGTGCACAGTTCCTAGCATATAGTAAGTGCTTAATAAATGCCTCTTAACTGACTGACTTTTTAAGATGGATTGTTTCATTCTCTCTACTTGTAACCCCAGCACTTCATATCAACCTGGAACACAGTTAACCCTTAACAAATAATTGATTGATTAACATAGTAAACATGTATCTATGTATACATACATGTGGATGTAAATGTGGGGGAACAATCCATGTGTTTGTGTGAACTCATTTATGTAGGAAGATGTTTTGTGTGACTGTCTATGTTTGCAACTGTGCATAGGTTCGTACCTGAGTTTTCTCTGCTCTTTAGAAGGGGCAAGTACCTATGTAGTTTGCAATTAACTAAGAAAACACATATAGACTTACTTTGTGTTGTTTTGCTATTGTATCTATCAAAAAATTGCTTCTAACATTGTCAACGTTCGGAACCAAAATTGATGAATATTCTGGAATACTGTCAGTTGGATAAATATATGGTTCAACTTTTTTGTTCCAATGTTCCCAGTCACCTATAAAAATGTAGATAATTTTGGCTGTAAAACCATACCTATAGCAGGTTAATTAGAATAAAAGCATAAAATTAAAAACACTTGTCAAAATATGTATAAATATAAGAAAAATCAAACGTCTCACCTAATCACATTGTTCCTAATAGATTATAAACTCTCTTAAAACAAAAGCCATGTCTTAATCATATGTATCTCATCCAGTATCTAAAATAGAACTTTATACATAGTAGACACTAAATAAATATTTGACTGAATAGTACTTCGTGCTTGTTGCTTGAATTATTTAATAATATTTTAAAATAATTTAAAAAATAAGTCTGTGAAGAAATCTTCCTATGAAACCCTGACCTAAGGTAAGAGAATAAACATCTAAAGAGATGAAGGTAATGTTAATTGACATTGAAGCCTGAAAAATGGGAAATATTCACCACTATGAATAGAAATCACAAATATAAATAAGAGCAAGTAAATTTTTTAAATTCCCAGCGAAGTTTTATGTTTGTGAATGCTCAAGAAATGATTGTTATTGGTAACTTACCATAATCAGTGACAAAAAACTCATACATTGTGTGATTACTTTCTTCTGGAATGTCTGGCAAATCTATTTTACTTTGATGACTTCTCAAAAAGTATTCAAGCTTTTCTCTGCTATCCAACTCCAGAAGGGCTCCTAAACTCCACATAATGCCAAATACAAATAATTTCTGAATATGCTCATTAGAAGCAACACCACCTTCTTCCTTGGAAGGAATTAAACCCTCCAGAAGATTGAGGGACTGGAAATGAAAGAGAAGAAAGAAAGATGATATTCGGTGTGTTTATCCTAGGTATTACTAGAGCAGCAGAATCTGAAAGGGGGCATAATTTAAGAAAATTAAAATTATAAACCTAATAACTATTATCTAAAACAAATGTAAAAAATAAGGAGTAAAATCTTATGTAAAATCCATAGCATCTAATCAAGAGAAATGAAATTTTAACAAACATACAAGAAATGATTCTGTTTTATGTCCCTTTTCATGTTTGTCTGAACTTTTGCTGCCTTTGGTTTTATTTTCAATTTTTCTTTATACAAAGGAAATGTAAATTATGAAAAAAATTAAAGTTCCATAAATCATATTTTTATTTATTTCCAATATTTTATACTATCAGATATATAATATGGGATAGACTTTTATACTATGATGATAATATAAATTCATAAATCCTGAGTTTTTTAAACAAAAATACCTGAAAATCATCTCTTTATATGCTAAGATGTAAGTTGACAGCTGTGTAATTTCCAAGTCAGTGCTAAACTCCAGTCTAAATTCAATGTTTATCTTATTATCTATCATTTTCTTCTTTCTCATATCTTTAACCTAGTCCTACTATGTTCAAGGCTAGGTATTAGGGATACAAAGACAAAAATGAAGCATTACCTAACTTCAAGGAGTTTATACTCTAGTGGAAGAATATATGAACTCAGATGAATATGATTCAAGATAATTTGAGGAAGGAGAGATCACTAGCAACTGGGTGGATCAAGGATGCTTTCACTGGATCAGGTAGCACCTAAGGTTAGCCTTGAAGGCAATGAAGGATTCTGACAGAGGGACATGAGGATTACTTTCATGCCAAGTGTGGCGTGCTTGAGCTAAAGAATGGAGGTGGAAGAGAAGATGCCAACTTCACATAGAAGGTAAATTGCATAAAAAAGAGCAGTCTCTGAAATGATACTGGTTGGGGTTAGATTGTTGAGTACATTAAATTCCAGGCTAAGGAGTTTACATTTTACTCTCTAAGAATAAAAAGCTGCTGAAAGATTTTTAAGATTTTTAAGTCTCATGGTAAGACCTGTGCTTAGAAAAATTATTCTGGCAGCTATGTAGAGGATGTATTGGAAATGGAAGAAACAGAATGTAGGAAGCCCAATTAAGAGGCTATTACTGTAATTGAAGTAATATGATATGAAGGCAGGTCCTCTTTCACAGCCAGCCTTCAAACCTATGTCCTGTGCTCTCAAGCAGAAAAATCTTTCCACTGTATCATGAAGTTAAGATACCATTGACAATCCTTCCTTACCATTCCTTTCCACTGCTACCATCCTCATTCAACATCTCATTACCTCTCTTCTAGGCTATCTTGGAATAGATATCTAAGCATACAGTGTCTTCAGCTCTCCAAGTCAGATTAATTTTCCTAATGCAAGAGATATCATGGAGGTTGAATCAAGAGGACTTGACATTTAGCTGGATATAGGGAGAAAGGAAGAAATCAAGGATGACTCCCAAGTCACAAGCCTGGATGACTGGAAGAATGATAGTGTCCTCAACAGAAATAAAGAAATTTGGAAGAAGGCAAGGTTTAGAGAGAAAGATGATAAGTTCTGTTTTAGGTGTGTTGAGTTTGATGTGCTAAGGGTTCATTCAGGTAGAGTTGTCCAGTAGCAATTAATAACATGCAACTGAAGTTCAGGAAAGAAATAAGGACCATATATCTAGAAACGGGAGTGTATCAGTGTATCAGATAACTGATCCATGGGATATGGTGATATCTCTAAGGGAAATATATATATTATATATATATATATACACATACATACATACATACATATATGAGAGAGAGGAGAAGAAGGAGAAAAAGAAGAAGTACAAGAACCAGAACAAGAAAGACAAGAACAAGAAGAACAAGAATAGGAGAATGACAATGGCCAAGGGCAGAGCCCAGGAAACTAGGTAATCAATTGGCAGAAATTGTTTGATGTATTCTTCCTATATTTTCCCATAAAGAATACTAATAATGAATAATTAGACAAATAGAAGGAGCACCAAGAGTAAGTAATATTATATTAGCCAAAAGAGAAAAGGGAGAGGGTATCCAGTAGGAAGGTGTAGTTGATAGTACCAAAAACTTTAGAGAGCTTGAGAATAAGAACTGAGAAAAAGGCCATCATAAGATTATAGATTCAAAGGTGGAAGAGACACAGATGTCAGCTATTCCAACTCCTCTTCATTTTACAGATGAGGAAACTGAAGCCCAGGGAGACTGAGCAATTTGCCCAAAGTGATACGCGACATAAGTGGCAAAACCAGGATTCAAACCCGGGTCCTATGATGCCAAGTCTGGTGATCTTTCCATTGCATCATGAAGTTAAGATGCTACTGGCAACTTCTGAGTAAGATATTTAAGTAGAGCAGGAGATTGAAAGCCCATTTCCCAGGGGTTGAGAAATGAATGGATATAAAAAAAGAGGAGGCAACAAGTTTAGACTACTCTTCCTATGATCTCTGACTTCTTACCCATCATTCCAGACATCTAGTCAATAAGGCACCAAGTTCTGCCAATTCTACCTCCTCAATAGTTACTATATCCCCTCCTTACCCTTCCTTTCCACTGCAGCCATGCTCCCATTCAAGTTCTCCCAGGTTACTGCAAGAGCCATCCTCTGTCAGATCACTTCACTACAAGTTTATATCACTTCACTACTCAAGAACCTTTAGAGCCTCATGTCTGCCTACACCAGGAAAACACAACTGCTCCATCAGCCACCACCATATGGGGGGAGAGTAACCTCAAATTTCCTTTACTTTTTATTTATTCTCTTTATATTTATTCTTTATATTTTTATTTATATGACTCATCTTTCCCTTAGAATTGTTTCTTGAAAAGAGAAATTGTTTTCATTCACTGAATTTATATTCCCAGAACCTAGCCCAGTTCCTAGAACATAATAGACAATCAACAAATAAATGTTGATTGATTGGTTTCCATTTCGCTGAAAACAGATAATAGCAAATAGAGATCAAATGACTACAAGATTTAGAGTTATAAGGAACCTTAAAGATCATCTACCAAGGTTCTTATTTTACAGATGAGAAAACTGAAGCCCTGGAAGGGGGAATGTCTCCCTCAAACTCACAGCACAGATAGCAAATAACAGCTGGGATGTGAACTCAGGTCCTCTGACTTCAAATCCATTAAACTTTCTATTACAGTGCATATTTTCTTCACTATACCAGGTTGCTGTTGGTGACAATGACAGTATGGAGTCTCTGACAATCCTGTCTTTTGGCCTTCTAGCATATGATTTAACAAAATCATATTAAAATGTTTCTACCCTCAGCTAAAATCATGGGCTGAAATAATGTTCAATTTGCTAAAAATTATAAGTAATGTTATAAAAAATGATCTTGCAATCTAAATAACCCAAGTATCTACAAATGTTCTACCTGCGTAATATAGTTACACTCTAAGAGCTGCATTTTCGGATTAAGATTTAGGGTCATATATGTATATGCATCTTCAAACACTTTGTCATACATCTCAAGTATTACAGTAGATTCCTGTGGACTGCGCTTTTTAAGCCATGCCTGTAACAGAGAAATTGAAGATCTCTTTAATGAGAAAGCCATCTCTCCCCTCCCCAAACCCTGAGAACACATTTATATATCTGTCATCCGCACCTGTAATATTGCCCTCCAAGAAAGAGCAGAACTGCTGATGTAGACCATACCCATCCTAGAAACAGTGGCAGGAGAGGCATTCTCAATGTTGTGTACTTCGAATAACAGTTTACAGCTAGGAGCCATGGGAATTCGATCCCCATTGGCTAATGTGAGAGTTTTATTGTCATCCAACACAGAATTTAAGTTCTCAATCCAAATGGCATCGACAGGCCCATCTAAAACCAGGAAGATATTTTCTCCTGCAAATAAAGTAGAAAAATACTGTTTTTACAATACTTCATTGAAGTATTCATTGGATACTTGCCCTGTACTATTAATGAGTTGGTAGAAAAATGAACATAAAACATCATCATAATGCTAAGGCTAGTATGGGCCAGGGAGGTGGTGCAGTGGATACAGCCACTTAGAGCCAGGAAGATATGAGTTCAAATCCAGCCTCAGACTGTCTGACCCTGGGCAAATCACTTAACTCCTGTTTGCCTCAGTTCCTCAACTATAAAATGGGGCCACTCTAGTACCTTTGCCAAGAAAACCCCATGGACACATAGAGTCAGACATGGCTGAACAAATGAACGACAACAATAACAACAAGGCTAGTATACCCTTTTTAGCTTTTAAGGTTTTTCTCCATAAAGTAGAAAAAATTCCATCTGTCCAGTCATTAGTTGTTGTGTCCAGTCTGCCAAACATCTGGGGAGCTGTAATAGCTTTTGGATTCATACGCATCTCTCTGTGAGGACGTCCACACTCTGTCATTGCCTTCATCAGAATTGTTATAACAGTGGTCTTTCCAGAACCACTGGGTCCAAGGGTCATCAATCCATGACGTACTAGAGATGTCTCATACAACTATCAGATTGAACAATAAATTGAAGAGAATAAAAGCTTATTAGTCATTTGTCACCTAATATAGGGTTGTTCATAAATTCAGGCAAAAATGGTCAGCAGAGGTATTGGGCCATGGTTAATATTTAAATTGAGGTCATCATTTCAGGAGTTCCACTGTTAAAACTTTAATAATGACAACTCACATTTCTGTAGAGTTTTTTTGGCTTTACATCAACTCTGCTAAGTAAGTAATGCATATTTTATTATCTCTGTTTTATAGATAAAGAAAGTGAGGTCATAATGACTTGCCCAGGATCACTGAGATACTGAATTTCAGAGTCAAAAGACTGTACATAGATCCATGATCTGTACATGGAGCATTCTACCAGGTCACCTCCTTTTTTTTTTTTTTGATTTCTTGGTATTTTATTTTTTCCCAATTACAAGTATAAATAATTTTAATGTATGTTTTTAAAACTTTGAATTCCAAATTCTCTCCCTTCATCCCACCCAACCCCCTCACTGAGAAGACAAGCAATTCGATATAGGTTATACACGTGTGGTCATGTAAAACATATTTCCATATTAGTCATACTTTGTGAAAGAAAACATAGACCAAAAAAACCCTCAAGAAAAATAAAGAAAATAAAAAATAAAGTATGTTTCAATCTGTATTCAGATACCATGAGTTCTTTTTCTGGGGATGGAAAGCATTTTTCATCATAAGTCCTTCCCAGTTGTCTTGGATCACTGGTGTTGCTGGGAATAGTTAAGTCATTCACAGATGATTATCTTATAATATTGCTGTTACTTTGTAGTCAGTACATTTCACTTTGCATCAGCTCATGTAAGTCTTTCTAGGTTTTTCTGAGAGCATCCTGCTCGACATTTCTTATGGCACAAGAGTATTCCATGACAATCACTTAGCAAAATTTGTTTAGCCATTCCCCAATTGATGGGTATCCCCCAAATTTCTAACTCCCTGCCACCAGAAAAGAGTAGCTATAAATATTTCCAAACATATAGGTTCTTTTTCCCTTTGTTTTTTTTTTTTTAATCTCTTTTTGGATACAGACCAAGTAATGATACTGCTAGGTCAAAGAGTATGGTTCATGGTTCTATGGCCTTTTGGTAGGCCACCTCCTTTGCTTTAAGACAATGAGGCTAACAAAATGCAGGGTGAATTTAAAAATCATATGTGGATTGTTTTGGAGGGGGGGTTTCCCTTTAATGGAAAGTAGACATGGCAATTGGGAACTAGTGTTGGGAGTCTACATTCAATTCAGAATGTCCTATCTGACTCTCAACTTATTGATAATTATTTAGATATATTAGTATTTCTAAACTGAGAATTGGGATTTATCAAATAAGCAACATGAATTTCAGGTGAATCTTCACATTTTTCGGCACAAACCCAAATTTCTATACCCACAATAGATTCAAAATTCCTCACCTGTACAAGTTTAAGATTCCAGGGTGGGTGGTTAATTAACCCTTCTTCTTCAACCTGATTACTTACTGCATGTTGCAGTTCCACATAGGTACTGCTATCTAGTTGCAATCCTGGAAACAGGTCATTGATTAAACTGAGGAAAAGGGGCTCATCTTCATCAATCTGAAAAACCATGAATTAAAATCAATTCATTAAAAAAGTACTTATTGAGCAACTAATAAGAGCATATTATCACCTCCCTTCTGAACAACTATTCTCCTAAAAGATCTTCATGTATACAGGGTGTCTCAAAAGTCTCAGTGCAGCTTTGAGCTTTAATAGCTTAATTCTACACTTAATTTCTGCAGATAAAGCTTTTGGGACATCCTGGATATATATATGTATACATATGTGTGTGTGTATGTATATGTGTATGTGTATGTGTATATATGTATACATATGTATATGTATATATATGTATATGTATATATACAGTAACAAAAAAAAGATATCTGCAGCAGCAGCAGAATACCATACTAGTTTCACGATTTTGGGAAATGCCAGCAATGTTAAATGTGTCTTAAATATGTAAACTGATTACAACAGGGGGTCAAAGTGGAAACACTCATTTATTTCTGCCCCCACTTTTAGTATGTCGAGCATACCTCTCTATTGTGCTAAACATAGGGCCCCATAAGGACTATTCTTCCAGAGGCAACCTATATATCTTTAATTCCCCTAAATCCATCTAATTATCTCAGGGTATGGCTATCCTCTCTCTGTTCTCATTATCATATAATAATATCTCTATGATAAAATCAAATTAGGTATTTAATTCAAAATTATTACAAAATTTCAAAAGTAACTCAAGCTTTGATCCACACTTGTCTTTCCCAATTGGGTAGAATGGGCCAAGTTAGCTATTTTCATGCCGCATCTCCTATATAATTCAGAGCTTTTGCCAATTTCCTTATTGAACAGTTTTTTTTTCCACAATGGAGAAAAGCTCAAATGGGGTCCCAAAAAGTCAGACACAACTGAAACGACTTAACATCACCATTATAGTATATTTGTCTTCTACCGGAGGTCAGCTCTTAAGGTACTCTTTTTCCACCTTCAGATTTCTCTTTCAGTCTCTCTTCTCCAGTGGCAGGAAGTAGCTAAGTAGCTACTCTGATCACTATTGGACCTCTGATTCCCAAGCTAACAATTAAGCTTAAAAAGTCTTTCCAGTCATTCACTTAAATCAAGTAATACAGGGGAAGCTCCGTCTTCGGTCTCTGTGTTTCATTGGTCATCTCTTTAAGCTTTTGCGAAGCAAGGCAACTACTGCTATGATAGAACCAAGGATTCCCTCACATAAGCCCTACTTGGAGGACAGTGCATAAACTCTAACCTCAAGTAAGACAATAATGATGTTACCTTAGCCACAGTAAAGTAAACAGCCCTATTGAATATTTTTAAGGCTGCTTGACCTGAGGATCCACCCCCTTTGCCTGGAAAAGGAGCAGAATGGAGTGATCTGTTGAGATTACAGTTATCCTTTCACATTGTGTCTTTCCCCATCTCAGTTTCTATATATTGCCATCAGCATAAGAAATTAAATGGGGATTTGTGGAGAATGTTGTAGAAGCTGCAGATACATGCAAAGGCCAGCAAATGACACAGAAAAGTTTAGAAACTCAGAAATGCATAAAATGTATATATAGTATTATATAATATCAACATATTTTATCTTTTAATACTATAATAATTTAACATTTCTTCTCTGGTATGGAGTGCCAAAAAATTTTACATGAATTTTCCAGATTGCAATGGCACCATGCCCCCTAACCCTCATAATGTGGAAGGGATAACTGTAATAATTTCTCTTTCAGGAAGCAGCTAGGTGGAGCAGTGGATGGAGTGCTGGGACTGAAGTCAGAAAGACCTGAGTTCAAATTCATCCTCATACACAAGCCATGTGACTTTGGACACTTAACCTCTCTGCCTGTCTCAGTTTCCTTATCTGTAAAATGAAATAATATTTGTAAAGTGCTTAGTCCAGTGGTACATAGTAGGTGATTAATAAATGCATGTTTCCTTTCTTCCTTCTTTTTCTTTCCTCCTTCTCTCGTTCCCTTCTTTCCTCATTTCCTTCCTTCAATAGCTGGCTGCTCTAAAGGACCTTCCATTGGCATAGCATTTCCCATAACATAGATAAGCTCTGAGCAATGTGCTCTCAAATTGGTGGAGGACTGATCTGCCCCTCTCACTTTGTGACTGTTGCTGCTCTTTCCCTGTTGTACTAACATCCCATCCCACTGCAAAGTTTCAATCTGAACACTATCTTGGAAACAGAAAAGAAGTCAAAGAAGAAAGATGCTTACCAACTTAGAGAGGTTCATATCTCTTAGGCCTCTCATAACAGTGCTTGGCTCACTGTCTTCTGGTCTGGCTCTTTTTTGAGCCCCAAGAGTCCTCAACACTGACAAGATATTTCTTAGACCAAAGTCATAGTGAACCTAAAAGAAAAAAGGCAGAAAAAAAAGATTACTTAATTGCAATTCCATAAATCCAAGTTCTTTAATTTAAATTGTAGTTAGTGGTTCTGGATTGACTAAGTCACAGTATACAATTTAGCACAAACTTATTTTTCTTTCCCTTAGACCAAAAGGCTTCTCTACACCTGGAAGAAAAGGAGATAGAAAAGGGAAATTTGAGACCTCTGAAAAATTCTGCAATTCCATATACACCTACTTAGCCACATTTGGAATCTGTCATACGAGATATCAGGGCAAGTATTAATACTAGGAACAAATGATAAGTTTAAAGAATCATTTTAAATATCTTTAAAAATTGAATTACAAATACTTTTGAGTAGAGAAAACTACTAGGCAAGCAGTAAGTCAACAAGAAAAAAGGTAAATTAAAACCATCTTCAATTGTTTGAAAAAGTGTGTTCACAAAATTACCTGTTTTGTAAGCTGCTCCTCGCAAAGCTTGTAAAGAACAAAGAATTTCTGAGCTAAGATGACATTTTCAAGAAACCCACAGCTTGCAAGCTTCACTCTCATAATTATCTGAAATTCAATATATTGAGCTCCATCAGTTTAGCTAAATAAAATAATTAACATTTATACAGCACTTACTACGTGCCAAACACTGTGCTAAGTACTTTTTACAAATATTATCTCATTTGATCTTCACAACAACCCTGAAAGGTATCCCCATTTTAAGGATGAGGAAACTGAGGCAGACAGAGCTTAGACTTGCTCAGCGTCACACAACTAGTAAGTGTCTGAAGTTAGATTTGAACTATGTCTTCCTGGCTCTAGGCCCAGCTCTTCACCTACTGCATCTAGCTGCCTCTGAAATAAATAATATCATAGCTAACTATAACAATAATAACCATGACCGAATGGAGTACTTTAAGATTTTTCAAAGCATATTCTATGCATATTTCATTTGATTCTCATGAGGATAAGTGACTGACTCCTGGTGATACAGTCAATCTTCCTCTTAGAGGCAGCATTATAACGGGTTTCTTCTGACTCCTGGTCCAAGAAAACAAATAATCTCCTGGTTTTAAAAAAGTTTTACTGTTGAATGTCATTTTTGGACCACCGTCATTTCCACCTAAACCTTCCCCCTCCCAATCAATCAAAAGAAAAACACTCTAGCAAAACCAACCAATACAATAACCAGTTCTAACAGAGCTTTCATTTCTGTACAGACATTACATATCTGTAGTCCCTATCTCTCGAACAAGAAGAGAGAGATAAGTTTGATGATTACTTCTCTAAGATCAGGACTGTTCACTATAACTTACTGAAACCTCACGCATCTTAAATAAAAATGAGTACCTGTCTGTCAGGTACCATCATAGCAACTGTTCGAAACTGAATTTTTAAGTTTTCCGGTAGCTCTTGGCGTCCAGCATATCCAGGGTTCTAAAAGGAAATTATTACTTTATAAAATATTACTTCATAATATCTACTTTAGCTTTTTTCTGTTCAATAAATAAAAACTATAATATATTTTAAATGTTTAGTTAAGCTTTGAAATTAGTTTTTTCTTCAAATCTACATTAGATTGATAAAAATTGTTCTGATCTCCCAAAATCTGCATTAGACCCATCCATTTAATTTATAAATGCCCCATAATTCCTTTTTATATTTACTACTCTATGTTAAGAGACCCATACTATGTATAGCAAACAACATCAAGCTGTATCTCCACTGACAAAGTGCAATGGAGAGCTGATGAAATGATCTGGATATTTCTGGCCCCCAAACCTATGCTTGAAGCAAAAGAAAATCAAATTGCTTAACCTTCCATAGGACTTTAATAGTGCAATCATGGTTAAAAAGTTCTTTTACTGACGAGTAAGAAAGTTATCCAACCGGGAAGGAAGGAAGTTTAAAACATAATGAGGAAGGAGTACAAGGTAGAATGAAAAGGAAACAGCAAGAATGTAATGGAATGTACTATACTGTACTGTACTGTAATGTAAAAGGGATATAAGATGCTTTTTTTCCAGGTATCTTTATCACAGGAGACTGCTTCTTGGATTGAGCTACAGAAGCAATGAAAAAAATTACTATGTGACCCTGGGCAAGTCACTTAACCCCAACTGCCTAAAAAAAAAAAAAAGAAAAAAAGAAAAAGAAATAAAAAGAAAAATTAAAAAAAAAGAAAAAATTAAAGGCATAAACTAGATGTGGACAAATTCCAAGGCACCTCTATTGAATCAATCAAGCACACAAAAGTATAAACTAGGTTTCATTTAACAAAAGCATACTTCCACACTGGGAATGACTTGTGGTGGCTGGAAGGAATCATTTATACCCTGTGGGGCTCAGATAAAATAATCAACCAATTTGAATATGGTATTCCAAGGGCAGGCCAGCCTAGGGCTGAATCAGCTCCACGCAAGACCCTGAGAGTGAGGTGGCTGAAAGGAGGAAGGAGTCACCTCACTCCCTGCCCTGATCTGAACAAAGGAAAAGCTTATGATTTTGAAAACATTAGAATATTTGTATTTCCTCATTGCTGTTGGTAGCAGCATCTCCAGAACATCTGTTGGGGGAGAGGTGGCAGCATCTGCACTGGGAGCTAAGGGACACACCAAAGACAAACTAGACCAGCTGATGACAGGGAGTTTCAGAACTCTATAGCAAATAGCTCCCCACACCATAGGGGAACTTAATGAAAACTCCAGGAAGACAGAAAATGACTTTCAAACAATAAGTCACACGTGTTACTCCTTTGCTCCATGTGCTTTTGAGCCCACTTTTTCCCATTAATGGAAGAGTGTGTGACAGACTAATTTTTTTTGAGGGAGGGATGTTTTGTATCACTTGCTTTAATATATCATCTCCATAAATGCTTCTTTCAAAAGCTAATTAACACTGGCTGGCTAATTGGTAATCAAGGCATCCTTAATTTTTTGGCCTGAAGAGATCTGTTTCTCCTTGTTCTCTCTGGAAACAAAACCATTTCCATCTCCCTAATCTTCAGATGCTCTTCTCTAGACCTTCTTTGGTCTTGCTATGTCTTTCTTAAAATACAAAAGCAACCAGAACAGAGTGATTTCATACAGAAACAGAACACACACCAGGAACATCATAAGCTTTGTACAATGAGAAGACAATGTTTTAGTTTTGTTTTAGGTATTTTCCTAATGTATGTTCAGCATTTTTATTAGTTCCACACTTTCTAGGTTAACAGTTAATACTCAGAGGCAATAATCTTCTCAGTGTGATTTAAATTGAATTCACTTTATAGTTGCCTACACTAATAAATATTTGCCACTTTTCTGTTCAATCATATAATCAACTGAAATCTTCCCTGAAATTCTTCCCTTTCAGCTGGTGATCAAACTAACAAATGAATAGTGTCATTTGCAATTGAGAGAATTCACTTATCCAATTAATTTAACTAAATTAAGTGTTCAATGAGACTATTTGGTATGGTTTTTGTTACAAGATCTTATCAAGGACTATTTAAATATTTAAATCAATATGTTTGGTCATATTGAAGGAGAAAGCAAAATTAACTACCTAAGGCAGAACAAACACGAGATGAAAGCTCACAGATTCTCAAAAGACTAAGATTTTCCCCACTTTCAAGGGTCTTAACATTTGATTCATCAAATCATAACCATAATTTCTTACCATTGTTAAAAAGATTCCAAATTCTGGATTTAAATCAACACAATCACCATCAGAAAAAATAAACTGTTTTTTCCTCTCTTTTCTTGCTGTCAAAACAATGTAAATCTGTTGAGCAGCCACTGATAATACAGGCAACTCAATTCTGTTAAATTCATCAAAGCATCCCCAGGAACCAGACTGTGCTAGACCTAGAGTGGAAAACATTAATTTAAAATTTTTTACTGAAGTAACTTCCAACTTAACATAAATAATCTTGTACACTGCCTTCTAGATGCTAATCATTTTCAAGTGTGCCCACAAGCTATTGTTTTGGAGAACATAAATTTATCATATCTATCAACATATACACGTGTGTATATGTGTGTGTGTGTGTGTGTGTGTGTGTGTGTGTGTGTGTTCAGAGCCTCCTGTGCGCCAGGCACTTTTACACACTATAGCTAGGCAGCTAGCTTAGTTAGCCCGGAGGCAGGGGAAAGTAATGGAGGCAAGAGAGCTGCAACATGTCACTGGTGAAATGTTCAAAAAGGATTGACTTTAATGTTGTCAATGGATTTAACTTGTTCAGGCAGCTTTTGTGCCTTAAGTGTCTTGGATTATTTTGCTGTCAGACCTAAGGGAGATTCCCAAGTAGGATTTCTCTGAAGAGAAATGTCCTGAATATGGGCATGTCTCTGTGTCTCTTCTCTGATTTGTCAATGAGCAGAAAAGTAGCTTGCAGTAATATAGATAGATCAGCATATCCCCTCCATAAATCATTACTGTCCCGGGTGATAATAGCAGGTCAGTTTTCCAGTTAAGGGCCTAGTCTGTGAGAAAAACTTTCAGAGATCTCCCCCAATGTTACTTCTGATATGGTTCTTGTTCAAAAACTGTTTCCTTGTCCTAAAGGTGTTTTTGAGAGTCCAGACATAACAACTATAGAATCGACACTGGTCAAGCACTTATCTTGCTTAACAATGTTTATAACAACAGTATCAACAACATTAATGTTAGAAGTGCAGGAGAATGATGTTTGTTTGCCGTTTTCATTTGTAACAGTAATTATCTTTGCAATAAAACAAGATTCCAAACACGGCAAAAAAACCAAAACAAAACAAAAACAAAACACAAATGAACTCAACAAGTAATAACTCAACATCTAACATTTTTCACATCGATGTGAAAAAGGGACCTAATAAAATTGTCCCATACTCCTCACCACTTACCTTTAAAAATCCGTCCTAAGCCTCTGAAATCCATTTGATCTGAACAATTAAAAACCACCACATATTTTCCCAAGCATCGCCCCATGTCTTTTGTTGTTTCTGTTTTGCCAGTTCCTGCTGGTCCTGCTGGTGCTCCTCCCATGTTCATCCCCAAAGCCTGAGCTAATGTGATATAGCACCTGCAAATATTAATTTAGAAAATATGTGTACTATGAATATGCTGTTACAAGTCTTACACTAATGTCCCTGTAAAATTCCACCCTGGCTGTAATGGGCATAGTAAACTGTAATAAATGTGTAGCATACATAAAAAAGAAAGGAATACCTTTAAGAATGTGCTTTTCACTAGGATTAGGTTTAGATTCAAAAAGTCACCTAGTCTAATTCTCTAAACAAAGTTTTAGGTCACCTCTTATCTGTATTGTTATAGTTATTTTTAAAAATCAAGGAAGGAGGGAGTACTACGACATTCACTAATGAGGAAATGATAATGTAAAGAACAACATCTACATATTGAAATGGTTGATTAAATGTCATGTATTCTTTTTAAAATATTTTATTTCCCCCAATTACATGCAAAAACAATTTTAACATTGTTTTTAAATGTTTTGAGTTCCAAATTCTATCCCACTCCATCCTCCCCTGTCCCAAGACAGTAAGCAATCTGATATAGGTTAAACATGTGCAATCATATAAAACATTTTCATATTAGCCATTTTGTGCAAGAAGACTTGAAAAAGAAAGAGAAAGAAAGAAAGAGAAAGAAAAAAAGAAAGTAAGGAAGAAAGGAAGAAGTATACTTCAGCCTGTATTCAGACAATATCAGTTCTTTCTCTGGAGACAGATAGCTTTATTCATCACGAGCCCTTTGGGATTGTCTTGGATCACTGTACTGCTAAGAATAGCTAAGTCATTCACAATTCTTCACTGTACAATATTGTTGTTACTGTGTACAATGTTTTCCTGGTTCTGCTCACTTCACTTTGTATCAGTTCATGTATCTTTCCAGATTTTTCTGAAATCATCTTGCTTGTCATTTCTTATAGCACAATAATATGCTATTACAATCATATACCATGACTTCTTTGGCCATTTCCCAACTGATGGGCATCCTTTTAATTTTCAATTCTTAGCTACCACAAATACAGTTGCTATAAATATTTCTGTACAGGTAGGTCCTTTTCCCTTTTTATTGATCAAATCTTTGGAACATAACCTAGCAGTGGTATTGCTGGATCAAAGGGTATGCACAATTTATTAAATGTCATATATTAAGAAAGTTACCAGACTGTGAAGCTGGTGAATCTTATTCATTAAGTGTCAATTTTAGGGGATCAGTTTAGGGGGAAAAGATTGAAGGAATCAGAAGGAATATTGGCATGGCCAGAGTGGAGAAAACCACCTGAAAGTGACTGTACAAAATTTACCTTAAAGCTGAAAATATAAAAATGCTTCAGGGCCAAATTTAGTAAGTAAAAATCACTAGTATTGAATAGAAACAGAAAGAGGAGACAGATACCGAAAAAATGGGAAAAAAGAGGAAAAAAATGGAGATGGGACAGAAACAAAGCATAATTTCTTTGTTGGAATTACCGGGAAGATCCCCTCTCCCTGTTCTTCCCATATGGTGAAGATTAAGCATTATCCTAACCAATTTGAACAGTAACACTGTGGGGATAGGAAAATGAGAAACAACATTAGTAGTGAGAGCAGGAGGGAAAAGGTGAGGGAGTGATGGTAGAGTTAAAGTAAAGAGAGAAAAAGAAATAAGAAGAGAGAGACAGAAAGGAAGGACAGAGAAAGAGGGGAAGAGAAAGGAGGGAATAAAGGAAAGATAGAAAGGAAGAAAGATATAAAAGAAAGACAATTTATCTGAAACAAACCAGGACTGGGCAATCAGACAACGCTCTGAACTGCCACCATCATCCCTTGTCGTGACTCCCCTGCCCTGTCCCCCAAACAAAAGAACCAACCAACTAAACTTTGTTTTAGGTAAACTGTCTTTTCTTTCTTACTTCTTTCCTTCCCGCCTTCCTTCTTTCCTTCCTATTTTTTCTCTCTCTCTCTCCCCCTTCCTCTTCCTCTCTTTATCTTTCCTTTCTGAGTCTTTAATTGGTCCTTATAAGGCAGGACCTCCAATACTATCACTTTCCTGGTTGCCCTCACATGGACACACTACCGTATCTCAAGGTCTTTCCTAAAATATGATGCTTAGGTTTGAACATAGTACTCCAGAAGTGGTCTGACAGGGCATAGTATAGAGTGGTACTACAAGCTCCCATGATCTAGACACCACACTTTCTATTAAGGCAGTCCAAGATTTCATTAATTTTTTGGATGTAATATCGTATTTTTCAAAATTTTATCGAGCTTGCTGTCCACTAAACCATCCAAATAGTTTTTCATATGAACTGTAGTCAGTCACTCCCTATCCAATACTAGTAGGGTTTGTCTTTTAATCCAAGTTTAGAATTTTACATTTATCTGTGTTAAATTTAATCCTTTTAGATTGCTGTTTTAATCTATTAAAGTCCTAATTCTTTCATTTAAAATATCAACTCTGCCTCCCTGCTTCATATCTACTTCAAATTTTATAAGCACGCTATCTATGGCTTTTCCCAATTCAGTGATTAAAATGCTGAAAACCACAGACCCAAGGATAGGCCCCATGGTATGTAATTAGAGACTACCTTCCAAGTTGACATTGATGCATATTAATTATGACTGTTACAGTCATTTAATCAGTTTCAAATCCATCTAACTGTACCATCTTCTAGTCCACATATTTCTCTTGTCCATAAAGACACTTTGTCACATGCTTTGCTAAAATTCAGGTATATTCTGTCTATAGCATTCTTCTGATCTATCATTCTAATAACCCCATCAAAAATATTAGGCTAATTTGATATGACATTCTTTTAAAAAAAACTATTTATTTATTTCTAGTTTTCAACATTCACTTCCACAAGATTTTGAGTTTTAAATTTTCTCCCCCTCTCTCCATCCCTCTCCCCAACATGGCATGCAATCTGATATAGGCTCTACTTATACATTCATATTAAGCATATTTTCACATTAGTCATGATGTAAAGAAGAATTAGAACCAATGGTAGGAACCATGAGAAAGAAGAAACAAAACAACAACAAAAAAAAAAAGGAGCGCAAATAGTATGCTTCCATCTGCATTCAGATTCCATAGTTCTTTCTCTGGATGAGAATAGCATTTTCCATTAAGAGTCTTTTGGAGTTGTCTTAGATCCTTGCATTGCTGAGAAGAGCTAAGTCTATTAAAGTTAGTCGTCGCACAATGTGGCTGTTACTGTGTACAACTTTTTCTTGGTTCTGCTCACTTCCTTCAGCATCAGTTCATATAAGTCCTTACAGGTTTTTCTGAAGTCTGCCTGCTCATCATTTCTTATAGCATAATAGTATTCCATTACATTTATATACCACAACTTGTTTAGCTATTTCCCCAATTGATGGGCATCTCCTTAATTTCCAATTCTTGGCCACCACAAAAGAGCTGCTATAAACATTTTTGTACATGTGGGTCCTTTTCCCATTTGTGTGATCTCTTTGGGATACAGACCTGTAAGTGCTATTGCTGGGTCAAAGGACATGTACAGTTTTATAGCCCTTTGGGCATTGTTCCAAATTGCTCTCCAGAATGGTTGGATCATTTCACAACTCCATCAAAAATGCATTAATGTTCCAATTTTCCCACATCTTCTCCACCATTTATCATTTTCTTGTTTTGATTTGCATTTCTCCAATCAATAGTGATTTAGAGCATTTTTTCATATGACTATAGATAGCTTGAATTTCTTCCTCTGAAAACTGCCTGTTCATATTCTTTGACCATTTATCAATTGGGGAATGATTTGTGTTCTTATGAATTTGATTCAGTTCTCTATATATTTTAGAAAAGAGGCCTTTATCAGAGACTGACTGTAAAAACTGTTTCCTAGCTTTCTGCTTCCTTTCTAATCCTTGTTGCATTGGCTTTGTTTGTGCAAAAGTTTTTCAATTTAATGTAATTAAAGTCATCCTTTTTTTTTTTTTTTAGGCAATTGGGGTTAAGTGACTTGCCCAGGGTCACACAGCTGGCAAGTGTCAAGTGTTTGGTCTCAGGCCGAATTTAAACTCAGGTTTTCCTGACGTCAGGGCCGGTGCTCTATCCACTGTGCCACCTAGCTGCCTCAAAAGTCATCCATTTTGCATTTCATAATGTTCTCTATCTTGTTTGGTCATAAATTCTTCCCTTCTCTATATATCAGATAGGTAAATGATTCCTTGTTCTCCTTGTTTGCTTATAGTGTCAGTCTTTTTTTTTTTTTGCTTCAAGATGTCTTTAATATATAGAAACGCATTTTTTGTAAATAGTATTTTTTTTCCAATGACATTTAAAGATAGTTTCCAACACTCATTTTTAAAATTATCTTTTAAATTAATTTATTTTTTAATTTTCAACATGTACTTCCACAAGATTTTGAGTTCCAAATATTCTCCCTATGTCTCTCTTCCCCCTACCCTAAGACTGCATGCATTCTGAATACCCCTGACCCTAATCTGCCCTCCCTTCTATCACCTCCCCTTCTCTCTTGCCCTTCCCCTTCTATTTTCCTACAGGGCAGGATAGATTTCTATACCCCATTGCCTGTATATATTTCCCAGTTACATGTAAAAATAATTTTTAACGTTTGTTTTTGGGGTAGCTAGGTGGCACAATGGATAGAGCACCGGCCCTGGAGTCAGGAGGACCTGAATTCAAATCCAGCCTCAGACACATAACACTTACTAACTGTGTGACTCTGAGCAAGTCACTTAACCCTAATTGCCCTCACAAAAAAACAAACAAACAAAAAAAAAACATTTGTTTTTAAAACTTTGGGTTCCAAATTCTCTCCCTTCCTCCCTCCCCACCCACCCTCATTGAGAAGTCAACCAACTCAATATAGGTTATACATGTATAGTCATGCAAAAAAAAAAAAAACCACTTCCATAATAGTCCTATTTTAAAAACTATATTTCCCTCCATCCTATTCCACCCCCCATTTTTTTCTATTCTCTCCTTTGACCCTGTCCCTCCTTAAAAGTGTTTGTTTCTGATTACCCCCTCCCCGAATCTGCCCTCCCTCCTATCATCTTCCCTCTCTTATCCCCTTCCCCCCTATTTTTCCTGTAGATAGATTTCCATAGCCAATTGAGTGTTTATGCTATTTCCTCCTTAAGCCAAATTCAAAGAAAGTAAGATTCACTCATTCCCTCTCACCTTCCCCCACTTCCCCTCCACAGTAAAACTTTTTCTTCTCTGTTTTATGTGAGATAATTTATCCTATTCTACCTCTCCCTTTCTCCATCTTCTAGTATAATCCTCTTTCACTCTTTAATTTTATTTTTTAGATATCATCCCTTCATCTTCAACTCACCCTGTGCCCTCTATGTATACACACACACATATATATATTCATACACACACACACACACACACACGTATGTATATTTCCCTCCAACTACCCTAATACTGATAATGGTCTCAAATATCACCTTTCCATGTAGAAATGTAAACAGTTCAACTTTAGTAAATTCCTTATGATTTCTCTTTCCTGTTTACCTTTTCATGCTTGAGTCTTGTATTTGAAAGTCAAATTTTCTATTCAGTTCTGGTCTTTTCATCAAGAATGCTTTAAAGAACTCTATTTCCTTGAATGTCCATCTTTTCTGCTGAAGGATTATATTCAGTTTTGCTGGGTAGGTGATTCTTGGTTTTCATCCTAGCTCCTTCGACCTCCAGAATATCATATTCCAAGCCCTCCGGTCACTTAATGTAGAATCTGCTAAATCTTTTGTTATCCTGATTGTTTCCACAATACTTGAATTGTTTCTTTCTGGCTGCTTGCAATATTTTTGCATGCTGGCCCACACTGAACTGCACTCCTCTCCCAGCCTGACACAACAGACCTTTCCCAGGTTCTCTTGGGCTGGAAATTTGTTTTACTCTGTCTTTTTGTGGGTTCTGCTGCTCTAAAATTTGTTTAGAGCCATTTTTTACAGGTATTGGGAGAGGTTTGGGGGAGAGCTCAAGTAAGTCATTGCTTTTACTATGCCATCTTGGCTCCGTGTAGTATCAGTCTTTATTATCTAAATCAAGTACCCGTTTTGATTTTATCTTGGCATAAGGAGTAAGAGGTCAGTCTATGTCTAATTTCTGCCATCCTATTTTCCAGTTTTCCCAGCAGTTTTTGTTAAATAGTGAGTTCTTACCCCAGAAGCTGGAGTCCTTGGATTTATCAAATAGTAGATTGCTATAGTTATTGACTGTTTGTTGTGTCTTGTGTGCCTAACCTATTCCACTGATCCACCACTCTATTTCTTAGCCAGTACCAAGCAGTTTTGATGATTGCTGCTTTATAATACAACTTAATATTTGGTAAGGTTAGGCCACCTTCCCTAATATTTCTTTTCTCTTGATTTTCTGGATCTTTTGTTCTTCCAGATGAATTTTGTTCATTGTTTTTTCTAGTTCTATAAAATATTTTTTTGGTAGTTGATATGACTTATTCTTGATGAAGTCATACTGGCTCTTAGTAATCATTACTTCCTTTTCTTAATGCTCATGAACAACTACTTAATAATATGTGCCTGAATTTTGCTAGGAATGGAAGTCATACTTATCTGCTTCTAATTTGAATAATCTTTTCTATTTAAAGAAAAATTAACCCAACTTTTACTTGTATCTTCTGGAATTCCTCTAATTCTCCACAAACTTTCATCACTGACAAGGTTCAGCCATCAGGCTCACAGGTTGTCTCAGTACACTGTGATGTAGGTCATCTAGGACTTAGGGCTCGAACTCAATGAAATGATATGTGCTTTTGTCTCACTAATTCTTTCTTTGCATTCATTCTTCAGAACTAACATTCACTGACATATTCTTGTTTTGGTTTTCTGGCACTAAGTCTGTTTTGTTGCCCTGTATATTTTGATATTTTTCTACATTATACAAATTAATTTTAAATAACAATTCCAGGTATTTCACTATTAGGACCAGCAATTCATAAGCAATACTTAATGTATACCCCAAAAAATTTATAAACTGCAAAAATTCTGTTGAATCTAACTATAAGATCACACAAAAGTGCCTTTTACCTATCTGTTAACGGGGTAATAACTAGACGATCAGTACATCCAAGAAATTCATTCTGGTAGACAAAATCAACATCTGTAATGGAAACTACAGTTTGGTCCAAATCTTCCTTAAAATAAAATCTGCTCTGCTTTAGCCATTCAAAATCTGTAGGTGATTTGATATGCATTTTTACCTTTAAAACACAAAACATAAAAGTTATTATTATGTTACAATGTCTGGTTTTATAAATGCTTGAGCAATCACACTAAATTTAAAAATTCTGTGTTGGGTTGTCTATCTAGTCTAGCATATTATGACACCAATGGATATCTGGTAGAAAAGTATGGCTGTCTTCTTTTTGGTCTTCATCCAAAGGTTATATATATGCCCAAAATATTGTTGATTTCCTTTAGCAACTTGTTAGAGAGGTGGTGAAAGCTGGATAAGGAATTTCAGTTTTAGCTTTGTCATTATCTACTATAATTTATTATAGCAGGCTACTGGAAGAGCCTTTGGTGATATACTTGGTAGATGGTTCACATCTTCCCCACTCTGAAATTTCTAGACAAGAGGTTTAGCAATTGTTTTCCATGGAACCCAGAGGCTTTACTTGCATTCTTTAGGAAATTGTTAGAGTTTCAAATGGTATTTTGAAAATGGAATTGGGCTCTGGATATTTTTGTCAAATTAGTATTTTCATACACATATACACATGTCAATTAAAAAAGAAAATGGGACATATAAAATAGGGACAAAAATACATACAGCTACAATATTGTTTATTGTCACATATATTAAAAAAAAATTTTAACTTTAAGAAACTTATACTTTACCAAGTCATCAAAGATATCTCTCTGGTGTACATGGATAGTAATTAGGGTTTCAAATTTCACTCTATCAAACTTGGTCAGATCATGAGTTGTCTGACTAATGAGAACATTTAAAATATCCAAAAATTTCTGATTGGTCACTTGCATAATTTTCCTGTCATCTTTTGCATTATTTAAGGCATCTTCTGCATCATGTGTCCACAACATTTGAATTCCCAGCAGTCCTACCTAGAGATCCAAAATATGAAGAACATTACCTAATATTTATAAACAATGAAGAAACAATTTATAAACAATAAACAAAAAGTTTATTTAGTAATCATCTACCCTAAAGGTAAATATTTTTCCCTCATTTAAGCTAAAACACATATGCTATCTTTGGGGCTATTTATTTTGCTCAGTATCCCCCTCATTGAGAAGGCAAGCAATTTGATTTGATACAGGTTATATATGTACAGTCATGCAAAACATATTCCCATATTTGTCATGTTGTGAAAGAAAACAAACAAAAAAGAAACCACACAGGAAAAATAAAGAAGGTTAAAAAAAAGTATGCTTGGATCTGCATTCAGTTCTCTTTGGAGACGGATAGCATTTTTCATCATAAGTCACTGGATCACTGTATTGCTGAGAACAGCCAAGTCATTCACAGTTGATCATCATACAATACTGCTGTTACTGTGTACAATGTTCTCCTGGTTCTCTGCTCATTTCACTTTACCTCAGTTCATGTAAGTATTTTCAGGTTTTTTGAGAGCATTCTGCTCATGATTCTGCAAATGCTTAATTAAACTACTCATCCACTCACCCTTGACCTCACATTGAGACGTACAACTTCAAACAGTGATTCTAACCACATGCAGCCTTTAAACTAGGTGATATGAAATACTGCTCAAAATATTTAAAAAAGTAAATTTATGGCATCTTACATCTGGAATTTCTCCTCTCAATGACCCTCACATTCACTGGACACAGGCACTTAATAAGCCCATTTTGACTACTAAACATAGCAAAAAGAAAGGTGAAGATACCTATATCAAGCTTGAACATTTCCCCAAACCCTCTCTCATACCCACAAATTATGAAAGTTTAAAATAAGAAAGTGTTTGTCTGGAACTCATTTCAGGATCAGGAACTACACCAGAAGGGAGCAAGGGAAGCAGAAGGGAAAGAGAGCCATTCACCCCTCTCTCTTATTAGCAGATGGTATTTTGAACAGTTGTCAGCCCAGGCCACTGTGGATTTGCCTCCATTGCACAGAACTCTGCCAGATGGGTCTCCAGGCGCCATGAATTTCAAGAGTACTGGCTTTTCCAATGCTTCCTTTTCTCATCCTGATTCTGAGTAGGTACAGTCTTTGGCTAAGATAGCAACAATAATCATCAGCTACAGTCACACCACAGTCTCAATCTTAAATTTTTAGACCTACAGAAGCCATCACTTACAGTTCCCAGTCCCCTGGTAGGCAGCCAGGGGAACCAAAACTTAATGACAGGGTAAACTCACATTTTAGGCTATCATAGCAATGGAAAGCCATGCCACACATAGCCACAAGGAAGTCAGTACATCAAGAGCGGCAGTTCCTAATTTCCTTAAGCCGCACATAGTAAACTGGAAGTCTTTCAAGGACAGCACAACAAAAAAATTTAACACCCATGTATGCCTGCACTCAGATCTCTTCACAATTATACTCTTCTTTGTCAAAACTTACAGGAGTCCTCAGTGAATTAACTTATAGCTGTTTGGAATAGGACATGATGGAAGAAAAGCGTATCCCTCCATCTTTCCACCTCTTGGCTTTAGTTAGAACAGGTTTTAGAAAAGTGGACACCAAGAGACATGTAACTAGATTGATGAGGCTACTTTCTATTGTTCACAGGGCAGAACCTGGATTCAAAACTGACACTCCTTCACAAGAGGGAAACATCTACCTTGGTATTCAGATCTAGCAAGAACTTAAAGTGTGGAACAGATGATGACTTCTTCAAGAAGTCAGAACTGTGAGCGTGGAAGATTATAATATATTACATAATTAGACTGGGATTAGTGAGTGGAGCCTAAAGCTAGCCTGAAGGCTTTGCTCCTAGGTCTTATTTTTTCTCTTCTCTTTGAGGACAGAATTGGCTTCAGTGGGTTTTGCCACTCTTCTCTGGCAACTGCACTGGTGGCCTAGTATGAGTATCTATCAATAATCCATTTCTCTCCTCTTTCCAGAAACATTTTGTATGTCTTCTTGGATCTTCAGAGTTCTTGAGAACTATAGTCACAATTTATAGAGGTCATTTTTGGGGATGGATTAGTATGTTTATTCCTGAGCTGGAAGTTTTCCTGAAAGTTCACGTACATCATAATCCTTACTGACTATCTCCCTCTTACTGATTTGCTTGCTTTTTAAAATTAAAATGTTTTTTAAAATTCAATTTTATTTTTAGTTCCAAATTCTCTCCTTCTCTGAACCACTGAGGAGGCAAGAAAAACAAAACTCATTAAAATATGTATAGTCATGTGAAACAAATTCTTGTATTAGCTTCATCCAAAAAACAAAGAGAAAGAAAGAAAAGAAAATACACTTTAAACTATACTCCAAGTCCATTAGGTCTTCTTCTGGAGGTGGGCAGCATATTTTCTCATTAATCATGGTTGCTCATTATGTTGATCAGAGATCCTAAGTCTTTCAAAGTTGATTATCAATATTCTGTTAGTTCTCCTGGTTCTGCTCACTCCACTTTGCATCTTACTGACTGTCTTATGAACAAAATTGTACAAGTGGGAGGTGCTGCAGGCCTGTAACCAGAGTGGTGGCTGTGTGAGGGGAGAGGTGTCTTAGTGGTTAAATCTCATTATTTTCTCTACCTATATTGTCCTTGGCTTCCCTGCAGCATGCACACTCTTAGATACTTTCTCCTGGCTGTCCCAATGCCTGTTTCACTGTTCTGCTTAGTGTCCAACGCTAGGTCATCATCTTCTTAGCATGAGGATTGTCAGGCCTCTCTTTCAAGCATTCTCTTCCCTCCCTCTTTGAGTGTGAGGGCACCAGGTCTCTGATCTAAGTCTGTTTCTGTTTCCTTTCTAAATTCTCTCACTTGATGATCTCATTAATAGAGATGTCATAGGTTGAACCTAACATCATGAGTTCAAGTATTTTCTCTACACAGATGGCTCCAAAATTTATATCATATTTATATTACACCATTGACTGCCTTTTGGTCATCTCCTTTTACAAACCTGCCTTTTCTCCAAACTTCCCCATTTCTATTGATGATATGGCCATCCCTCAAGTCATCCAAGTTTTTAACCTCAGAATCATCCAAACTCCTCAGCTTGGCAGTACTGCCTTTGACAACTTGCCTGCAATTCAACTTCCAAGCCTTATTTACTGTTACTTCCTTCCGCAAATCTTACATTACATCCTGGACTGTTGGCTAGTTTTCAAACTTGATATTCCATGACCTAAATGTCTGAACTACATAAAACTTCTTCATTCCACAACAGATGTGATGCCTACAAGCACAGCTTCAAGGTCACACATACCACAAATGTATCATACTATTTTCACATAAATTTGTTTGTACAATTATTTTAAAATGTTGTGTTCTCACCTGTGCTGGAAAATGGAATAGGAAAGGTAAGAGTTGGAAACCAGTGTCACTAATTTGATAGTATGCTAATCGAATGACATTGTGTAGTGAAGACATTTGCATTCTTAACAAGTCCAGAAGCCAAATCTCCACTGGACCTTTGGCCATGACTGGGGTATCCAACTGAAAAAAATTAATGAATGCTTATTACAAACAAGTTATGTCATATTAGTAATTTATGTATTACAAATTCAGCAAATTAATTCAAACAGTTCACAAGCAGAGTGACAACCATGGTAGGAAACTGAATTTAATTCTTCATATCAAAATAGTTGAAACAGCAATAGATGTGCAATTTTGGAGAATCAAAGCAACCTTAATGATCTTCTAGTATAACCTCCTCATTTTATAGTTGAACATACTGAAGCACAGAAAAGTTAAAAGTGACTTGCCCAAGGTCACATAGCTAGTTAGTGGCAAAGCTAAGATTATACTCTACCTCTATATTGCTCAATGACTCTCTACAACTTTTTCTATGTTTATTTGATCTTTAAAACATTGGCAATATTAAAATCAATAATTTCATCAATAATAGTAACATTTTAAGGAAGTCAAATTACTTGAATTTTTTCTCCTTCTCTTGATATGACTGTTAGCATCCGATCATAATCCTTTGCATGAAATTCCACTTCATTTATGTTATCAGATACTGCAGGTAAATGAGGCTGAAAAATAATGAAACATTATGCAGAACAATAAGCAAAAATATCATCAATTATTTTGCAAAATTACCGAGACACTACCAAAACAGGGTTCAAATCTGTTTCCAAAAGAAGATCCAACTGTACCACTTCTGTAACTTATCTCACAGATAAATCTGAGTCTCACTTACTTTCCTGAACATAACTCTACATTGCCCAACTTTCTGTTTGCCTTTTCTTTTCCTACATCCTCCATAAAATTGTATAAGATGAAATGGATACATATGAAAGCTCTATTTAAAGCTGCCAGACCAGGAATGGCCTCACTACTGATGTGACAACGGAAATAGTGGAACATGTAATTGCTGTTTCTTCCACCTCTACTCATCCAGATATACACTTTTGGGGGGAGTGGAGAGGGAAAGTGGGAACCACCCTAATATGACTCCATTTTAGTGATATGCATAAGGCAAATAAAGAGGTTGCACATTCTATTCAGAGTAGAGACTGGTAAGCTGGGGGAAAATGTTCTGCACCAGTAACAGGTTCATTGATAATTTTTAATTTATTTTAATTTTTCCTATAATCTGTAGGTTTTTAGAATAGGAAATAGAATAAATTCTATAATAAACATAATTTATTATTTTTCTTCCTTTCTTGAACTTTCAAAAGGTGAATCCTTGACTTTTAGAGGTAAAGCCCAGATGACTGAGGAGAGAAAGCAGCCAATCTCTCCCAACATTTCCCTCCAAACAACTTTAAAATAATGCTTCCAATGAGCAGCAGAGCCAACAAAAGGTCAAGGTCATCGATTTTTACAGCACCAAGACAAATTAGGAGGCCAGAGAGGTTTGGGATGCTGAGGATGAGAGTCTATTTGGTGGCAACACCAGCAGGGGGCCTTGGAGGTGGCAATACCAGCTGCAACAGCAGTAACTTTGGGAGCTCTCTGACCAGAGATAATAAGGAGATATGACAAATGGTCACAAAGAGACTACGCAGGATCTTCATGCTAGCACTGGGTACAGGACCAAACACTGTTTGGCAGCTCCAGTGCCTACACCCACTTCTGAATCACAGTTCCGCTGCTAAGAGTAGTGCTTCCTGTCCTAAGGGAGAAGGGGCCCTGAGGAGCAGTATCAATTGAGGTCACAAAGGAGCAGTGATGATACTTTTCCTCAGATCAAACCCCCTTGGAAGCACTAAGAACTTTCAAATCCCCAGAACTAACTCTAAAAACAACAGTATGAAAAAGCCAGAGGCTTAGTACACTGCTCTTTCCATCTCCATCCTGAGTTGTTGTTGTTGCTTAATCGTTTCAATAGTGCCCTATTCTTCATGACCCTTATTGGTTTGTTTTGTTTTTTTGTTGTTTTTTTTTTTCCACAAAGAAAATGGAGTATTTAAGATTTAGTGAATTGCCCAGGGTCACACAGCTAGCAAGGGTCTGAGGCCAGATTGGAACTTGGGACTTCCTGACTCCAAGTCTGGCACTCTATCCACTATACTACCTAGCATCCAAGAATAGAGTACAACTTTAACACAAAGTTAAAGTCAAGAAATAGACTACAAAAATGACCATACAAATAAGCAAAAACCTAATCATAAATAGCTCATATGGTGACAGGGAAGATCAAGGCACAAACTCAGAAGAAGACAATGATGTCATAACAGCTACAAGGAAAGCCTCAAAGAAAGACGTGACATAAGCCCAATAAGAATTCCTGGGAAAGATAAAAGTGATCTTCAAAATCAATTAAGAGTAACAGAGGGAAAACTGGGTAAAAGAATGGGAGTGATGTAAGAAAATTATGAAAAGACAATTAACGACTTGGTAAAAGAGGTACAAGAAATACTGAAGAAAAAAAACTGACCAAATGGAAAAGGAGGTACAAAATTGCCAAACAGAAAAAGAGGTATAAAAGCTCACTAAAATAATTTCTTAAAAATTACATTTGGGCAAATGGAAGCTACTGACTCCATGAGACTTCAAGAAACTATAAAACAAAGTCAAAAAATGAAAAAATAAAAGAAAATGTGAAATATCTCATTAGAAAACAACTAACCTGGAAAACATATTGAGGAGAGATAATTTAAGAATTACTGAAAACCATGATCAAAGAAAGAGCCTAGATATCCTATTTCAAGAAATTGTAAAGGGAAACTGCTCAATAGTTTAGAACCAGAAGGCAAAATAGAAGTTGAAAGAATTTATCACTTGAAAACTCCCATATCAAAGAGAAAATACTTCAAGCAGCCAGGGGGGGATAAAAAAAACAAAAAACAAAAAAAAAAAACAAAAACAAAACACCTCAAAACATTCAAATATGGAGCCACAGTCAGGATCACACAAGATTTATCAGCTTTCAAGTTGAAGGAACAAAAAGCTTGGAACATGATATTCCAAAGAGAAAGAATTATAACCAAGAATAACCTATCCAACAAAACTGAGCGTAATCTTTCAGGGGGAAAATGGATACTTAATGAAATAGAGGATTTTCAAGCATTCCTAATGAAAAGACCAGTGCGAATAGAAAAGTTGACATTCAACCATAAGACTCAAAAGAAACATATAAATGTAAATATAAAAGAGAAACTTTATAAAAGACTCAATAAAGTTAAACTGTTTACATTCCTATATGGGAAGATGATACATGTAACTCCTAAACACTCTATTATTATTAGTGCACACAGAAGGACTTTACATAGACAGTATAAGAGTGATCTGATTATACTGGGATGATCTTCAAAAAACGGACGGGTGAGAAAGAGAGATGCATTGGGAGAAGGGGAAAGGAGAAAATTATGTCACATAAAAAAGGTACATAAGGAAGAGTTTTTTACAGTGGAAGGGAAAATGGTGGAGGGAAAGACAATGCTTGAACTTCACTCTTATCTGAATTCATTTAGACATGGAAGAAGATATATACACACACTCAAGTGGGTATAGATGTTTAGTTTACCCAACAGGGAAGTAGAAGGGGAAAGGAAAAAGAGAGAGAGAGACAGAGACAGAGACAGAGACAGAGAGAGAGGGAGAGAGAGAGAGAGAGAGTTGATAAAAGGGACAGCAGATTAAGGGAGGCAGTGGTTAGAAGCAAAACAGCCTTTACAAAACAGACAGAGTAAAAAGAAAGACAGAAGGATAAACAGAAGAAAATAGGATGGAGGGAAATGCACAGTTAGTAATCCTAACTGTAAATTTGAAAGGGATGAATTCATTCATAAAATGGAAGCAAATAGCAGAATGGATTAGAAACCAGAATCCAATATGCTATTGACACGAAATAGAGAGATATACACAGATTTAAAATAAGGGACTGGAGCAGAATCTATTATGCTTCAGTCAAAGAAAAATGACAGAGCAAGTGATCATGATCTCAGACAAAGCAAAAGCAAAAATAGACCTAACGGAAAGAGATAATCAGGGAAACTACATTTTGTTAAAAGGCACACCATAGACAATAAAGTAATTATCAATATTAAACATATATGAATGAAATGGCAGAGCATCCAAATTCTCAAAGGAAAAGTTAAATGAGGTATAAGAGGAAACAGTAAAACTATACTAATGAGGGAACTCAACTTAACCTTCTCAGAGCTAGATAAATCTAACCATAAAATAAATAAGAAAATCAAAGATATGAATAGAATTTCAGAAAAGTTAGATATGATAGACTTCTGGAGAAAACTAAATGGCAGTACATGGGCATACTTAGCTGTACATGGTACCTTCATAAAAATTACCCATGTATTAAAAAAAATAAAAATAAATAAATAAATTACCCATGTATTACGGTATAAAAACTTCACAACCAAATGCAGAAAAGCAAAAATATTAAATGCATCATTTTCAGACCATAATGGAATAAAATTATATTTAATAAAGGACTATGGAAACAAATTAAAAATTAATTGGTAATTAAATCAATCCTAAAGAATGAGTCAAAGAACAAATCATAAAATCAATAATTTCATTAAAGATAATGACAACAATGAGACAACATAACAAAATTTGTAGGATAGTTTGGCCAAAGCAGAATTTAAGGGAAAACTCATTTTCTAAACATGTACATCAATAAAAGAGAGAAAGATATCATCAATGAACTGGGCATGCTAATAAAAAAAAAAAACTAGAAATGGAACAAGTTTAAAAATTCCCAATTAAACAACAAAATAGAACTCCTGAAAATCTAAAGAGATTAATAAAAATTGAAAGTAAAAAGATTAATGAACAGATAAATTAAATTAGAACTGGGTTTATGAAAAACCCAATAAAATAGATAAACCATTGGTTAATTTGATTTTTATTTTTATTTTTTTCTGAGCTTAAAAACATGTCATTTATTTTTTAATTGAGACCCTAATAATTTACCCCAGACAGAGGTTAATACATCAATCAGAAATAAAAGTTTTTGTCCCTTTGTATATTTTTGGAAGGAGGTGGTAAAAATAACTTCAAGTATGCCTGTTGTATTTGTGGTATTTTTCCTTTCATTCATGATAACTTGCTGAAATATCAATTTTAAATAAAAAAAACTTTTAATGAATAAAAAGGCAAATTAGCACATCTTCATTTTCTAGGATAGTTGAAAATGATTTAGGGTTTAAGGAAAGCCTTAATTGTATTGGCAAAAAATACTATTAGCTTACATTTCAATTGTACTTTCTGGTTTACAGAGCATTTTACTCACAAAAATCATATATTCCTATTTCTATTCCTATTTTCTGGAGGAGTGAACTGCGGCTCAGAGAAGTAATATGCTTTGCCCATGGTCATAGACTACTAAGTAGCAGAGGTGAAATTCAGATTTTTTGCAGATTTTTTGAGTCTGAGGCCAAATGTTTTTTCTTTATGTTGTGGACATGATGGTAAGGATGCTAGACTTGTGAGACTGAGGACCTGATGTCGTCTTCACTTTGACATTTACTAGCTGTGTGACTAGCATGCCCATCTCCCCTCAATCCTCAGAAAAGCCTGGCTCGATCCATCCAGCTCTGCTATCAATTGATTTCTTTCTTCT